ATATTTAAGGCATTATCTATTTCTGTCATAATGGCAACATCACACATTATTGTGTGACATAGAAAGTAATTACAGATATAGAGGGTATCAGATACAGAGGGTAAGACAGAGGGTATCAGATTCATGGCAACCTTGTGGATGAGACAATTTCAAGACCTCCTGTCCTCCCCTGCTCTGCTTAGATTCCCTAAATTTAGCTCCCTAATTGAGTCTATCCATCTGGCATGTCATCTTCCTCTCTTTTTGCTACCCTTTATTTTCCCCACTATTATTGTCTTTTCTAATGAGTCATGCCTTGGCTATGATGTGGCCAAAGTACTACAGCCTCAGTTTGATCATTGTAGCTTCCAGAGAGATTTCAGACTTTTGTTTGTCTTTTGGGCTGTCCATCTGTTTGTCTTTTGGACTATCCATAGTATCCTCAGCACTTTTCTCCAGCACCACATCTCAAATTAGTTGGGTTTCTTCTTATTTGCTTTTTTCCAGTTCTCACATCTGCACATGGTGATGGGGAATACAATGGCTTGGATTATTTTAATTTTAGTGTTCAGTTGTATATCTTTACTTTTTAGGATCCTGTCTAGTTCTTTCATTCCAAGTCTTCTTCTGATTTCCTTCCTGATCAATGTTTGATCCAAGGGGCAGGACCTTTTTTTTCCCCTTCTATTTTGATCTCCTCATTGTCTAGATTGAATTTATGGAGATCCTACATATTTGTACAGCTATATATTTTGTACAGTCGTGTAAATTTACAGTGCTTTACAAATACATTTAATAATAATAATAATAATAATAATAATAATAATAATAATAATAATAATAATCTTTTGTTGCCATTATTTTTGTTTTTTTATGTTGAGCAGTAAGCCTGCTTTTTCACTTTCTTCTTTGACCTTCCTCAGTAATTGTTCCAAGTCTGTGATGTTTTCTGTTAGTAGTATGGTGTTATCTACATATCTTAGATTGTTGATATTCCTTCCTCCTATTTTCATTCCTTCTTCTTCTGAGTCTAAACCTACTCTTCAGGATTATCAGAATTATCTGATCATCAGGATTATCAGAAATAGTGACACTCTTGTGTTTTTAAGAGACATCTGTAGCTTTTCATGATCTATGCAATTAAATGCTTTGTTATAGTCTATAAAGCATATGCTGATTTTTTCTGGAATTCCTTGCTATGGTCCATTAGCCATCTTATGTTTGCATTGTGATCCCTAGGGACTCTGCCTTTTGTGAACCCTGCTTACAACTTTGGGATTTCTCTCTCCATATCTAATTGGAGTCTCTGGTTCAAAACATACTGCAGAAATAATCCAGTTTGTGATTCATTTCAAAATGCCCCTTTTCAGAAGAGGCATCAATTTCCACATTGTTCTATTGGAAACCAAAATCTTATCACTATGAAGGAAAGCAATAACTTGTATTGATAAAGAAGGCTGGACTTACTTGAAAGTTAATGAACTTTTGGCATGGTCTTTACTAGTGCCAATCATGCTTTACAAAGGCTGGAGTATCTATTGTTGGATCGCCAACCCTTCTAATAGCAAAGTTAGATGGCTGAGTGCCTATCAGTTTCAAAGGAAAACAGAGTCACTGGAAAATAAATGTACACATACACTGGTATGCTGATATGCTCCCTAGTTACAAACAAGTTAAAAGAAAGGGACAATTTAAAAATACCCACTAAAAGAAAAAAAATGACATGAAAAGAACCTGTGAGTTTTCAGAAGGTACAGACTGTCAGTATCAGATGAAAACTGAGGAAGACACTGGGTGGGTCTGCTTAAGTCCCTATAGTACCCTATATTAAGTAATCAGTGGTAAGTACAATTGGGGAGAGTCCACCATTAAGTTCAAAAACCATTCTTCTTCTACTACAGTTGTGCTGAAGACATCAGGTCCTGGGCCCAAATCTATCATTCTTGGGATTCAATTTGGTTCTCAATAGTTCTCCGCATGGCCATGCCCCTTGCCAATATTTTGTAGCTTTGCACCTCTTGTATATTTTTATGGTTCTAAAAAGTTAAGATGCTTCTGGTAACCCTTAATTACAGTTAAGAAATGTATGGCAAAATACACATTTATCCTTGGATCTGCACACCACTGAAATAGGTCCCTCATGGCACCATTCTACAACTGAACTGAGCCTGCAAGCTGGAAATGTTCACCATTCCATAGTGTACTGCATGCAAACCAGGGCCAATTTACCCCCACAGAACACAGAACCCAGAGCAAGCCCAAGCACCTCAATTTCCTCTGAAATTCCTCTTTCCATTGCCATTTTGAGAAGAATTACAGAGCAAAATGGAGGTACTGTGGGCAGAAAGAGGTTCTCGGTGCTTGTGAAAGTGGAGTTGGAATATTTTTTTGCATGTTTTCACATATTAGGGGTGTTTGTGTGCTTCTGGTGCAAAAATGTCACAAAATCATGCCATTTAATTTTTATTTTTTATTTTGAGTGGTAGAGTCTTGGGAGGACTGTTTCAGGAGGAAATAAAGATGGGGTAAGACAGTCTCTGGATACCTTCCCAGTCCAGTAAGTAGCAATAACACAGAAGAGCATCAAAAGCAATTGGGAAAGAAAACAGATAGAAACTCTCCTCCTTTGGAACTAAGAAGCCTGAACAGTACTGTAATGTTCTTTTTCCTTTTCCAGACATGACTGAAACACAGCACTTTTCTTAGGGGTTGGGGAAACATTGAGACTCGTGTTGCAACAAGTCTTGCTTTCTATATGATCAGTGTATGGTGGGGCTCAAAGGAATTCTCCCCTCCTTTTATCAGTGTGGCAGTTTATCAAATAAGAGATTTGTTGATGCTGAATGTGTATGTGCATTTTGAACTGCTTCGAACTCCCAGCAATAGTATGTTATAAATGATGTTGTTTATTGTTAGGATTAAATGATTAGTATTATGATGTTGAGAACAAGGTATTTTCGAAGTGTCTCATTCGTAGAGTTGCCATGAGCAGAGGTCGACTTGAAGGCAGTTAACAACAGCAGGTTACAATGAGCATGGTCAAAGCCAATAAATGAAAAGATTTCTAATATAATGGAAGTTCTGTGGAGTAATGGTGCTTCAGTAAGTGATCTACCCTAAATTGGATGGGGTGATATCCCTTCCCCACAGGGAGCAGGTGAATAGATTGTAACACTGTTAGATACACATTTGCTACTGGAGTCATAGGTGGACTCCCTGACTCAGAGGCTGTGACTAATCTGATAGTTGTGTGTATGTGTGGATACTGGTAACTTTAACAAAGTTCGAGCTTATGCTACCATTATAATAATCTGGTTTACCTCTTCCAAATTGAAGTCTAATTCTGGAGGCAGCTGGGTCTTATCACAAGGATTTTGCCACCGAAGCTGCTAGGCGAGTCCAGCCCGGCTGCAGCCCAGGTCCCCAGTGTGCTTTGGTGGCCATTTTTTCAAGTTGGAAAGCTCCTAGTTTTCAAATAAGGCTGCCGAGGTGCACCGGGGACCTGGGCTGCAGCAAGGCTGGACTCACCCAGCGGTGACAAAATCCTTGTGATAGGACCTGGCTGCCTCCCGAATTAGACTTCAGTTTGTAAGATGTAAGCTGGGTTATGACATGATGTCCAGCTGTCCCAATTTGGCAGGAACAGTCTTAATTAATCATCTGCCATCCCACTTTTTGATCTGCTTTTAAAATGTCCCAGATTCTTTCTCCTTTTCCCACTTTCCTCCTTTGTCCTCAAATTACTTCAGTTGAGTCTTGCCCTGCCCAGTAGGTGCAGGCAAAAGCAAACTGCAGCAGCCACTCCCAGCTTGTGTGTTCTTCTTCATAACATTGAACACATTCTGATGCTGCTTGACCACACGTGTTCCAGTTTTATTAGTGATCTAACGGAGGGTATGAAATGATTATGGTTGACTTCAAGGTGCAAGTAACATGTAAAGGCCTAAATGGCTTGGAGCCTTGATACTGGAAGGAATGTCTAAGATCCTCTCCCTACATATGTCTGCCCAAGGATTTGAGGTCTGCTGGGGGGGCCCTTCATTTGTACCCCACCATTGGGGCAATACATTTTGTGAGGATGTGGGCAAAGACTCTTTGTTGTGGCTTTCGGATTATGGAATGCCCTCCTTTACAGCAGGAGTGGGCAACTATGGAAGGCTAGCAGGCCACATTAGTCCCTCTGAGACCTCAGAGAGCTGCATTCCCTATCACACCTCCCCCCAAAAAACATAACCCTCTTTTTCCCCTAAATGCCCTCTATAGCTTATGGAGGACATTTTGCCTTGTTGTAGGCCCCTGGGCCATTTTAGGCTTGAGAGAGTCCCCCCACTTTTTTAACAACAGTAGGGAGAAGTTATATCCGATTCATTTAGTGCCATTTTAGATATTAGATATTGTATCATTGTACTTTATTGTATGTTTGCTGCTGATAACAGTTTTTTATATAGTGTATTTTATATTTTGTATCTGTATTCTTGTATTTTTATTGTTGTAATCCTGCCTCGATTCGCAGGGAGAGGCGGGAAATATAAATTATTATTATTATTATTATTATTATTATTATTATTTCTTTTAAACAAAAACAAAAACAGCTCTCCTGGGCCTAAATTGGCTAGGGAGGGGGCAAAAGCATGGCAAAATGCATCCCATGCTCACTTGATGTTCAGGCTAATCTTATTACCACCATAATCCTTCTCACTACTCTTACTATTTTATTACTATATTAATTGTTATGATTTTTCTCCTCTGGCACTTCCCTGTTGCTGCTGGCTAGGAAACGGTGAGAAGGGCATGCTTAGGCTGATTGGATACAGAATACAGACATACCCAGGTGACTCAAAGGACAAATGAGACTTCTCCCTCCCACTATTGTTGCTGCTTTTGCTGTATGCCTTCAAGTCATTTATCACGTATGCTGACCAGGGTTTTCTTGGCAACATTTGTTCAGAGGAAGGTTTGCCTTTGCCTCCATCTGAAGCTTGGAGAGTATGACTTTCCTAAGGTGCCCCAGTGGATTTCCATGGCTGAGCAGGGATTTGAATCCTGGTCTCCAGAGTTGTAGTTCAATGCACAAACCATTACACCACACGGGCTCCTTCCACTTCCCATATAAACCCACAGAATCTATCCTGAATGTCTGAGTAAGTTTGTTCTAATGTCTTGCTTTTATAAAACCTTTTTATAAAGACCCAGGTGCTGTCTGCATAACTTACTTCCCTTGCATGTGTTAATTTCAATACCTCTGCTTTGTTTTGTTCTACAATTTCTATTCAGTAATGACCCATTGCTGGCCTCTGTATTATATTATGACTGTGCCTTTGGCTTGCCAAATAGTAAGTAATCCTTATCTTAAGGATGCAATTTACTGCTAATAGTTTTACAATGAAAGTGATTTAGAGTCTTGTAAAGTGACCTTACATAACCAGGAATAACAAGGTATTGATTGGGTTTAATTCATGTACAGTGAATTCCGGAGGAAATAATAATTTGTCTCTTATTCATTATTAACTGTTCCTGAAATGAGATGGCATTGTACACCAGCTAATTCAAAATTACCATTCAGTTCCTATGGAAGTACACTTTATAACCACAATACCATGATTAATTCAACTGTAGTTAAGATTTAATGAATTAATAATGGCTTGCTGCTTATTTTAAAATGATACCAGTACTACTGCTAATGGTGTTTAATTATTGCTGAATTGACATGGAATTCCTATAGATGTACATATGCAGCCTTTACTAATGCAACTTCTTAGGTCATCTTAAAGATGAAAACATTTATTGTGGCACAAGCTTCCATGAGCCAGAGATCACTGCATGGACCCAGGAAAGTGGGCTTTTGTTCACAAAAACCTGTGTCACAAAATTTGGAAAATCTTTAATAGTTTATTTGTTGTGCTTACTGCAACAGAGATAGTTGCTGAACTGTCATTTCTCACTAACATAGTAACTTGATTAAACCCATTTGTTTTACCAAGGGTTCTAATCGTAGACTTTTAAGGAGAAGAAAAATGATGATGTTAGTGTCAGAGGCATACATTTTCTCTCAGATGTTATTACTTTTGTCAGTTAAGATGGTCTAGAGATATCATGTAGGGACTGAGGACAAAGGGCAATAAAAGACAGATAATTTTCCTTGCACATGACAAAAAAAGGGGAGTGATGTACAGTTGGTCCTTCGTATACATGGATTCAAGGATCCATGGCTTGAAAATATTTAATATATATATAAATTCCAAAAAGCAAATCTTGATTTTGCTATTTTATATAAGGGACATTTTTTTACTATCCATTGCATTTAATGAGATTTGAACATTCACAAATTTTGATATCCACAGAGGGTCTTGGAACTAAACCCCTGTGGATACCAAGGGCCCACTTTAGTTGTTTTAGCTGTGGACTACAACTCTGGAAACAAGGGTTCAATTCCCTCCTCAACCTTCACGGTCTCAGCCCCAGTAAAAGCCACAATTTACAACACACTGTTTGAAGATGTACTTTCTTCTGACTGTTTTGATTCACCGTTCTGCATCACTGAATGATTCTAGGTTCTAGTATGGAAAACACATCTCTATTTCATTTCTCCGTAGCATGCATAATATGATAACGATTTTTTTGTGTCTCTTCACCTGCACACCTCCCCACTAACCTAAAAAAATCTCCACACGTTGTAACCTTTCTTAGGATAGGTAAATTATTCCAACCCCTTTTCATTTTGACTGCTCCTTTCTTCATGTACAGAGAATGCAGTTGTTTAAAGTATTCAGACACTTGACAATTTGTGGAATCATGTGGACCACCTTTCAAATTTTGAGCCCTGATCTAATTAACAAGCATATACAAACAGTGTCTGTCTTTGACTGCCATGGTTACCTCCAAAGAAAGTATTTCAGAGATTTTCAGACTCTCTTCAAAGAAGCAACAATGCTTGGAAATTCAATAATATCTAGTAAATATATTTCAAGGGAAGGTCCCTTGTGTTTCTGAAATTTGTGACCTGCCTGTAATTTAAGCCAAGAACATGATGCCTTTAAGTGCCTATTTTGTGCCTGTGTGGTCTGCATTGCTCATACTAGGCAGCTGCTGTGTTGGCAGTTGGTTGGCTCATTTCATTGCTTAAATTAACTTGAACTTTTAAAAATGGGCATTTAATTTACCAAGCAATACCATGGCTCCTCAACTATACCCCAAGGGTGGGGTATGCATCATGTAAATGTGACCTTCAGGAAAGCATCACTAGTCCAACCACTGAGAAAGCAAAACCTCCCAACTATTTTTTTTTGGGGGGGGGGGGCTTATTTCATAATCAACAAACCAATCAGCCAGTTTTATGATGTGGAAAACAAACCAACAAATGTAAAAGAAAGCTTGCTAACTGACCATGTGGCAAGAGCAAATGTGTATGTATGTGTGCTCTAGGTTACCTATATCCAGATACATCTGTCTCTCTTGCCAGTTTGATAAGTTTAAAAATGTCAATGGCTGCAATGTACACAGAAGGAAAAGGAGTGGACTGCTTTTCAGGCGTTAAAATTCCCAAGCAAATCTGAGCAAAATCAATGGACTTGAAAAGCACTCCAAAATCCCCAAATGTTTACTGATAGTATTTGTAATTTGTGACTATTTGACATTTGGACTGGCAGGGATGGTAGCCTGGAATTATTATTTTCAGGGTTTCATGAAATCACTAGCTAACTATTAAGCCATTTTAAGTCTCTAGTGGAGATATACCTGAGATTTTATTTTATTGTTTAATGTTATGGCAACATAAGTCAGATATATGGCTCCTGCTTTAAATTTGTCTGTTTTACTAGAGTGTGCATAGAAGGACTTCCTGTTTAGTTTTAGTATAGAAGACTGTTCTGCATTTCTATCTCCTCCATCATAGGGTGAGAAGATGAGAACCCTTCACAGGAGTCAGAGCTGTTGTTATTATAAGTCATTTCCAAACTTATGCTGAGCCTAAGGTGATTGCCGAGCAGAGGGGTGGGTTATAAATAAAAAATTATTATTATTATTATAAGACAAACCTATCATGAGGTTTTCTGGGGCTGAGAGGGTGTGACTTACTCAAGTTCATCCACCAGGTTTCCATGGTGAAGTGGGGAATCAAACCCTGATCTCCCGAGTCCTAATCCTACACTCAGACCACTACACCATGCTGTGCTATAAAGGAATTTAAGGAACATAGAAAGCTTACTTATACTAGATAGTGATATTTTCTCAATCAAGTGAATATTATCTTCTCAGTATTTTCCTGGGTCCCAGATCTTTCACAGCATCTTCCATCTGATAATTTTAGTTGGAGATGCCAGGGATTGAATCTGGGGCCTTTGATGTGAAAAACATGCCCCCCACTGCCCCGCTCCCCTTAGGATCAGGGTGGATCAGGGAGCTGGTGCCAAGCTAACTGAAGTCTGTGTTCAGAACAATCCAAGGGAAATTGAAGGATCTTATTAACATTATATAATCTGGGAATAAATCACAAGTGCCCTGTAGGAGTCCCTCAGTGTTCAGGTTCCTTTTGAGTCAGAAATTATGCTTTCTTTTTGACAAATGCCTGTTTCTCCCATTGACCTTCATTTGTTCTGCTTGTTCAGAAAGAGATTTCAATATTTAATTACCACTGACACCCAAAGTGGCTTCTGGAGAATGATGACAGTTGATGGCCTGAGGCAAGACTTAAGGCCAGAGATAATTACTCTGAAAACATTTGGGGTTGTGGGCATATGTGGTTTGCCAGTTTTCAGACTCCATATTATCTAGAATCCACAGATCTTGCATGTAGGCAAGTCTTGTCAATGGAACTAACTCAGCATAGGGAGATGATTGACTTCCTCTTACTGTGATATAAAATGCAGGTTGGATCCAGCCAATGACCACTACATTTAACTCCCACTGGTTTTAATTGAGACCATTAAGCACATGCTTGCTTAACTCTTCCAGTGAAATCAATGAGATATGAAAGTACTTGGATTTCGCTCACAGGAGTTTGTCATTTTAAACTTGTTTAAACACTCTTTTGCTTAAGCCTTTGCAAATTATTATTCTTACAGGAATCCTCATTCACAACATTCCCAAATGAAGCTCTAAAGCCTTAAATATTGTACAAAGACATTAAAATCTGCTAGTTGAAGTTGCCTGCTGTTGAAAGTCAATACAATTGGTGCTCTTCTAGGTTAATTATGTGACTTTGGATTTCCTTGGCTCCAGAACTACACATTGAATGGGTGAAAATGGTATGTTACATAACAACATAGATATGAATTCAGGATTGTTTTCTTTATAAATAAATTTAGTGTTAGACTTGATCTTATTATTTGTTTGTGTATCTGTTGACTTATGGCAACCCCATGAATTTCATAGAATTTCCTTAGGCAAGGAATACTCAGAGGTGGCATTCCTTCCTCTGAAACTTAACCTGCAGCATATGATATTCCTTGGCTGCCTCCATCCAAGTACAAACCAGGGCTGATCCTGTTTAGCTTCCAAGGTCAGATTGAAGGTGCCTTCAGAATATATAGGTCTTATGATTTACACATTATAAAGAAATTGGGAGAGGTAAGCTTACATCATGTACCACTTTCTTTACAGTGTGCATTGTATGTCCAAGGGTGAAGACCTCTCCTCAAAAATGACCACATCAGATGAAGTTTTGAACTGAAAAGGCCACAGCTATTTATTGATATAATCGCAGATTTGGCTGGCAATGCATAGGACTGAATCCAGGCATTCGCCAACTCACATGCTGATCGATGAACTAAACCCCCAGCCAGAAAATTAAAACGGAAATGAGGCAGGAGGGATCCACCCTCATCAGGAACTGCCTGGGAATGAGGGAGGCAACTAGATAATAAACTCTAATGCCTGACCAGAGTGAAGACTTCTGTTCACTCCACATACGCTCATCAGCCAATGGGATCCCAGCAAACATTTGAATTCCTTTGGCTGATGTTCTCACCTCTCTCCCAGCTGAGATGTGTTGTGCTGCTCCTTGGGAGAACCCAGTGGGTGGCCATGGAGGAGACAGCCACTATGCACTTCCAGCCCTGGTCTGCAAAATAGCTGTGTGATAAGTTTCTCAGCCTTA